TTTACTCCACATTTCGGGAATCTATCTCTTTCGAGGCCATCAGTCTTTACTTTCTTCCAGATCGACATGAAAAAGGAGCGAAGGGAAGACTTCCCCGGGGAGGGTGGATTCATCTTACTAAACTGGTTGGACTAATTCCACGTGCTTCCCTTCGAGCCTGACAGCCACGACGCTCGTTTTTGTTTGGACGGTTCCGTAGAAATATAGTAGAATTAATCCTCTGTTCTACTGAGGAAAATTCTTTCTCTTAATCTGTATAAATAGGAGAGGGACAGAGACATGTTAATGTATTAAAGCTAAAATTATTTCAATAAAGTTTTTCATTTTTTCTTCAATAAATCTTCTACAATAATTGTTCTTATCTTATATTATTTTCCTCATGGTATTAGAGCCATTTGCATAGTGATAAATTTTTCCTCTTCGGCAAATAGAACATCCGTTCCCTTCCGCTGTGGCGTCTCTAATACTACGCTCACCAGCAATGCCCCACCTTTCCTCCTTTGCTGTAGCCTTCTTCTCTTTTGTAGCATCGTTGCAGTTTCCTCTGTTGTACCTCTATTGTAGTTTTCTCCTCTACTGCACCTCTGTTGTAGCTTCCTCCTCTATTATATGAGAAAATCTCTTTGCTCTGTTGAGGAAAATCCTCTATTCTGTTGAATCCTCTCTCCTAATCTGTATAAATAGAAGAAAGACATGTTAATGTATTTTATTTCAATAAAGCTTCTCTACTTTTTCTTCAATAAAGCTTCTACAATAATTGTTGTTATCTTCTATTATTTTTCTCAGTACTCTCATTAGTATAATGTCCTCCTCCTCCTCTACTGTAGTGCCCGTGGTCTCCATGCTGCTGTAGCCTATAGAGTCATCGCTTCACGAAAGGTTTTGAGAGTCATAAACTTATTGTTCTGCATTCGTATCTGACAAAACCAAACGATATTGAAGTTCAACTACACTAGGTCTTCCGGCATTTGATGTAAAAGAAGATGTTTTCCGACATTAATGCATTGACTATGAATTAGTCCTATGTCCACACTCAAGGAGAAAATAAAGCATATATATATATATATAAAACAAATTCAGCCCAGGAAAAATGAAACGGTGATTTTTCTAAAAACATCTCTGTTTTTAAGTTCTTTTTACAATGACACCCTCATTTTAAAATATTTATTTATTTATTTTAAATATCCTAAATGTTCCTCGCCCTTATTTATAGTTTTTCTCTTTTCATATGAGATATGGTCCTCTTGGTCATCGTCACTTCCTTTATCAGATGAGCATTGTTAATTATCTTAAAGTTGTCTCGCTTTTATGATTACTTAATCTTTGACAATAAGTCTAATTAAGTCTTCACCATGATCTTTTGTGGATTATGGATAAGCTGGATGCAAGTATAATTCAAGGGGGGGTTGATTTGACGGACAAAGAAGAATAAGAGGTTGAAATAACGATGGAGTTAAAGCAATAGATGTCGAATGTAAGAAAAGAGAATGATATGACCACGATAAATAAAAAATGATGAGGTAGGATGAAAAGAAAGTGAAAAGCTATAGATTTTACATAAGATGAGTGATGAAGGATGGAGAGCATAAGGAGCCTTTGAGGTAAGCAACGTCGAAGATCATGACGATATGAATGCGAAGAAACAATTAGGCTTGTTATAGAAGATCGAGTCTCCTAAATGCGAGAAAACCTCCGGGAATCGATAATGTCCACTAAAAAGAAAGGAGATGATAACGAACAAGACTATCACTGTTGAAAGAAAAAAGAAAAAAAAAAAAACAACCAAAAGAGATATTTAGGATGGGACCATCCGAAAGCAAATGTTTTTTCAAAAAAAAATTAAAATCAAAAAAATTATTTGGACATTTCAAAGTCTATAATGCCATTGGCTATTTATAGTTTGAGGATCTCTCATTTAGAAAATAAGTAAAATTAAATTAAATTTTATTATAAATTTATGATCTGGAAGCTCATAGAGGAAAGTTGATTTCTAAAATTATTTATGTAACACAAATAGATATAATTGCATTCGTTTACATACATCCCATAGGTTTTTAAAAAGTCCTTATCGATAAAACGTAATTAAGTAACATTTATTTCTATCCTCATTGAATTATTTGTGTTGGGCACGAAGAACTCATCAATAACATCGCCTGGTTTCTCTTATTTTCATTTTTATTTGTGTTTTTTATTTATTTATTATGTTACATTTTTATTTATCATCTCGCGTCACCACATTGCGAATGGCTCACTCATCGACAAACTAAAATCATTTAGGTTGGACTAATTCCAAGTGGCGATAGGATAATATCTCTTAGTCTTCGGATGGGACACCCCACATTTACTGGAGCATTGCCCGTCCGATACGCCCGATGAACTTAAAGCTTCTCAGGTCACATCGGCCATCTTCAACACCCAACGGGACTCTCTAATCCAAACAGGTCATCGCAATCCTACGTCTCACTTTTCCCTTCATGTCATCTCACACTCTGATGGACGGAATGCGATGCAGGATGCAGACCCAGTGGCTGTTCGCATGCGAGGTGTGACATTTGCCCAACCGGACGCCTCCTGTGGAATATATATACATGCCCTCCATCGTCTGCGATTTCTCCATAAAGAAGTAGCCATTCACCAATCAAAGATGGCCAATCCCAGGAGAAGCACGCGTCTCTGGCTCACCAGCATTCTGCTCTTCGTGCTCACAACCACGGCGTCGGCCAAGGGGTGCACTGAGGTGGAGAGGGACGCCCTCCTCACCTTCAGAACCCGCATCGTCGATCCGTCCCACCGCCTGTCCTCGTGGCGTCGCCTAGTAGACTGCTGCAGATGGAACGGCGTGGTGTGCGACGACACCACAGGCCGCGTCGTGGAGCTCAACCTCCAGAATTCGGAGGACATGACTGTCGAGGCGAATCAGGCGGCTCTGCGGGGTGAGATCAGTCCGTCCTTGCTCTCTTTAACGCATTTGGATCGCTTGGATCTCAATCACAATGACTTCGGGGGGTCACCGATCCCCACCTTCCTGGGCTCTTTCCCCAAGCTCACGTATCTCAACCTCTCCTGGTCCAACTTCAGCGGATCCATTCCGCCCCAGCTGGGCAACCTGTCCAGCCTCCGCTCGCTCGATCTCTATTCGTATGGCTTATCGAGCGATGGCCTGCACTGGCTCTCGCGTCTCTCTTCCTTGAGATACCTCGACATGAGCGGTGTGAACCTTTCCATGGCCTCCCACGATTGGCTTCACTCAGTGAACATGTTGTCCTCACTGGTGGTGCTACATTTACCATACTGTGGCCTCACCGACCTCCCCTCTTCTCTTTCCCATGTCAACCTTACGACGTTGACCATTCTCGATCTCCGTGGCAACCTCTTCAACTCCACCTTCCCCAACTGGCTTCTACAACTCCGCAGCCTGTCCAATCTTGCTCTTAGCGATTCAAAGTTACATGGCGAGCTACCTGCTGGGATCGGGAGATTGACTCGTCTGATCCAGCTTGACCTCAGCGCCAATTCACTCTCTGGTCCTCTCCCCGCGGAGATTTGGAGTTCGAGGAGTCTAACAAGCATCGACCTCAGCTTTAATTCGTTCAGAGGTCCCGTGCAAGTGGAAGCAGGGAATCGGATTAGTCTCTCACACGTATATCTGATCAACTGCTCACTCACTGGCCGCATCCCTGCTGCGATTGGGAGTTTGACTCGTCTCAAGGAGCTGCACCTCAGTCACAATCGACTCACTGGTCCCATACCTGCCGAGATTGGTAATTTGACTGCTCTAACAACGCTCGACTTGGGTCATAATTCTCTCTCTGGATCCGTACCACCTGAGATCGGCAAGCTTTCCAACCTAACCTCTCTCGATCTCTCCCTCAATTCCCTGAAAGGTACCATGTCCGAACTCCATCTCGCCAACCTTGCCAAGCTAGATGTGTTATACTTGTACAGGAACTCCTTGGACATCGCAATAGGCCATGACTGGATTCCACCTTTTCAACTCGAGACAATCGGTCTGGATTCCTGTAAGCTGGGCCCTTCGTTTCCCGGATGGCTGCGCTCACAGGGATCCATCGTGGATTTGAATTTGTCGAACACGAGTATCGAGGACACTTTGCCTGACTGGTTCTGGAATTCTTCTTCCTCGTTCAGTATGGTCATAAATCTGTCCCAAAACAAGATTTCCGGCACTCTGCCGGCATCCTTGGAGAGTCTAACCAACTTGATGTTCCTAAATTTGAGCTCTAATCTGTTCCAAGGTCTCATCCCTGTTTCGCCACCACTCCTACAAGCACTGGATCTATCAAGCAACGCTCTCTCAGGACCGCTACCATCGACCTTTGCACCGGTGTCGGAATTCTTGTTCTTCTCAAACAACCATATTAACGGGAGCATACCATCCTACGTCTGCACTTTGCAGCTGCTCTTTGCCCTCGATCTGTCGAACAATCAAATATCAGGAGAAATACCTCGGTGTTGGCAAGAGACAAATGAACTTTTGTTTATCGATCTGGCGAATAATAAGCTCGGTGGAAAGATTCCTAACTCCATCGGAAACTTGACCGAGCTCAAGTTCTTGCACCTGAACAACAACAGCCTCCATGGATATCTTCCACCATCGTTGCAAAACTGTAGCCAGTTAGCTGTCATCGATCTCGGTCGCAACCATTTTTGGGGCAACATACCGGCATGGATCGGACAAAGCTTTCGATCTCTGGAGGTACTTCTGCTACGCTCGAATATGTTGTCAGGCAACATTCCACCACAGCTTGGTCAACTAAGTAATCTTCAGATCATTGACTTTGCCGATAACAAGCTATCAGGGATCATACCACGCTCCTTCGGCAATTTCAGCGCCATAATTTCCATATCAAAGTCGATGTCTTCCACGATTACGACCGACACAAACTTCGAGTTGTCCTCTTTCGTAGCCAGCGAAAGCATAGCTCTAATTATAAAGGGACATGAACGAAACTTTTCGTCTATTCTCCATCTCGTGAAGAGCATTGACCTTTCAAAAAATTCTCTGACCGGAGCAATCCCCACAGAGATCGGGTACCTTTACGCACTTCAAACTTTAAATCTATCAAGAAATAGCATTGGAGGTATGATTCCGAGTACTATTGGCGGAATGAAATCACTGGAAACTCTTGACTTATCATTCAATGACTTGTCCGGATCCATTCCTCAAAGCTTATCAGGCCTGAATTATCTGAGTGACTTGAATCTGTCCTATAACAATCTATCAGGAGCCATTCCATCGGGTTATCAACTTCAAACACTTCCAGCATCCAGTTACATCGGTAATGCGTATCTTTGTGGCCCTCCGGTTAGCAAGAGTTGCCTCGAGAAGACAAATATCAATGCGACATATGAGGAGGAGGAAGAAGGATTTCATACCTTTTCATTTTACTTTGGCATCACACTCGGTTATTTGGTTGGACAGTGGTGCGTGTTTATGATCATGCTATTTAAGGAAGATTGGAGGATGTTTTATTTTCGAATGATTGATCGATTATATGACAAAGCGTGTGTGGCAATCAAGATAAAGATCAACGGATGGAGGATCAATAAAGGAGAGAGACGTACTCAAAAGTGAAGGTAACGTTAATGTGTATTAGACATAATGTGTTTGAGTACTCAACAGTTAATGAATTCCCATTTGCTTCACTTCATTTATTTGAATTTTGTGTTCATAAATCTACATTAAAAATATATGTATATGACTTTGCTCCTATCTCCCGTTAGAAGTTTTATGTCTTCATTAACTTAATGACTGAAATGTCAAATATCTCGCGATATTTGAGAGCCCCCTAAGCTAAGGCTGGTAGGCTGCAGGCTGTCTGTGAAAACAGAGAAGGGAGCTCTTTTTTTTTTGGACCACTGGTTTTCTTTAGGAGAGATGAGGAAATTCTTAAGTGATTGTGTATTTTATGATTATATATAGCTTTTGTTTGTAAAAGTGACTCCGAAAGATCTGATTACTGTATGACGTAGAAACTTTATTTTGCAGCGCATTTGAGCAGAAGTGGAGGATCGCCTAAAATCCAACCTGATTCGATGAGTGACTTGGTTCTTTTTCTCCAAGTGATTACGCTGGTCATTGTTGAAGCAATCAATTATAGTCTCTGTGCTGAAAGCTTATTCTTAATATTGATCAGTTCTGCAGCTCCTTGTTTCTGTTGAAGATTTTGTCCTTTCACCTATTACTGTCTTCTTTACAATTCAATCATGACGTGCTATCGATGTCCATTGATCAAATGGATTACCCTCTGCTGAACCTAATTGGCATCCGAACTCATTCACCTGTGTTGTATTACTAAACAAGAGGAGTACAGATTACATTTTTACAAATGCATGCATGAGATACAAGTTTTCGGTCACCAAGCTGTGATAACCCGAGGAGAGCATCGAAACAAAGCTCTCTTTCTGCAGGATTATATTGTACAAGCACAACCAACTTCTCGACAAGAAAAACCATTTCATATGCATCGAAGCTCTCTTCTGCAGGAGTATATTGTACAAACACAGGAGACTTGTTGATAAGAAATATGCTACAAGCGAAACATTATGGAGAAGATGTTATGCATCTTGGCAAACAACTTCGTTGGGCGGTTTGGTACCGGCAGACATGATTGTGGAGGTGAGTCTTGCTTCTTCTTCTTCCTTCTGAGTTGGAAGAACTGTTGCAGGACTTCTGAGCACTCGGTCGTTAGGACCCCACGCCTTATTCTTATATCTGGGTGGAAGGGGTGAACAGGACCTGCCTTTTGGTTTGATGGATCGGAGCTATTGCTTACTCCATTATCACCAGGAAATAGCCTGCACAAGAAATATATAACAAACCCTGATCATTATGAGAATCTTCTCGATGAATCAGAAAATTTATACATGCCCAATCTAAAACAAGCCAAAGACAACAAGGACAACCGTGAATCTTCATATGTTGTGCTTGTAAATTCTCTTCATGAATTCCACACAACTCAATTACTAGAGATAACCACAAGGAAACTTTGCAAACAACAGCTTATATGATTTTGACATAACGAGACCAAGCAACTACCAATCTTACTTGGCATGCATGGAGCACCTACTCATCTGGAAAACCAAGTATGCAGGGGCCCAATTCACAAACAGTGGATATGGTAAGAAAAGCATGAATAATCTGATGAAGTGGAATCAATCGATTGCATAGTTAGATTTAGATGCAATAAAACATAGGTAAAATCATTTGTGTGGTCTGAAAACAGAACTCTAAGCATGAAACCACAACTGAGCTCTGGACCTCTTCCGTCTGTAAATCCTACATATCAAGCTACACTTTCACTCATTTCTGGGTCTGGATTTCAACTGGATGTATACTGCTTAGGTCCTCAGTCCAAAGTATTCAGCCTCAGAATGACAAGACTTTCTTTTCATATCTAATTCAAAAGCCTAAAAAACCTGACTTCTTATCAGTATATTATCTGTGACTGGAACCTTGGTTCCTTATTACAGTGCTTGGTTCCATGCTGGATTTTTCATCTGCATCAGACCATGCAGAAACCAACATCGGACCATGACAACCTTTTAAGAACATGAAGCAGAATACACACACAACATGTACCTGTGGGTTCCACTATTTTATTATGGGATTTTTGCTGGTGTACCCTTCTATATTTCCACATCTGTCCCAATACCCAATTCAAAATCTTGACATGCCCATATACTCCTGTAAACATTCAAAACCCCTAAAAGTTGTCTGTCCATGTCAGCCTCCATCAAATAGCCATTAGGACAGTCACTTCTGGAAGGCAAAGAGACTTACGCCACCTCCCTCGATTCTGTTAATGGGTGGAATTCACCCATTTCTTGCTCTGCTCCATCTCACTTGGACTCGGTGGGACTCAGAGACCAATGCAAAAAAGTAGTTTTCCACCTAAAAATAGAATTTATTAGAGATATTTTGTTTTTTACCCTTCCAACCAGGAGATGGAAGATGACAATGAGCAGCAGCTTGACGTGTTTTTAGTGTTTACAGGTGCATACAGACAATCCACACTTTTACAAGGTATCTGGTAAAACCTAAAAGTTTAGAAGGGTATACTGGCAAAAGTCTCTTTATTATAGCAAGACAAACATTGAATTGAACAGGTTACTAATGCCAAAGGAATAACTAGTCAAACCAACTTATCTTGGTGCCGATAGAAGTAAAAAACCAATATCGTGATTGAATCTTAGGTTGTACGTGGAGCAGAATCAGCGATTCACACACTGTTTGTGACATTCAATGAGAAAGTAAAGCACGATGTTCAAGCATATAGATGTAATAGGAGAGTGTAGGTTCAACTAGATTTCAAGCATATAGATGAGAAGCTATCACAATGTTATATAGAGAACTATTGGGTAATTATTCCAACAAGTACCTCACCCAGCTGCCATCAGCTCCTAGTAGCTTGTTGGGAGCACCCCATACTACAGTATCAATTCTAGCCTGGAGGATTGCTCCAGCACACATGGGACAAGGTTCAAGCGTCACATAAAGCGTTGTTTCCTGCAGAGCATTTGCAAAAAGTTCATTAACTAAAATATTAACACTGTCAGTCTTTCTATTAAACGAACAGTAAGGCATGTTCATAGATTGAAAATGACATCCAACTATCTTGTGGGTTAGCAAACAAAATAATCTCCTGCCTCACTTGCTTATCACCTCAGGATGGCGATTAGAAAGGATTGTCTATTAATAAGGTATGCATCAATTTTCTAAGATTCTTTCTGAATTACAGACAGCAGGACAAGTGCGCATTAGCCTCGTTGTAGGGTTCTTCATAGTGCATAACTCCTGCTGCCATCACCCAATTGGCACCATAAGTAGTGAACAGGATACTTATTCTCACTAATGAGTCAAAAACATTAAAAGAAAATGTGAATCACTTCATTTGATAAAGATATATCAAGTACTTCCAAATATTTCCATCTCCAAGTACCTTCACCAAATGCTAATTAGACTAGGCATACAGTGGAGAAATATTGCTGAGATGCACCAAGCATGCCATGAACGTGGAATACCGAGATGTCCAACTTTTGTACTTAACATGAATATGTTGCCTTCTTTTAGTAATTCAAATTAACTTGTGCAGATCCATTTTCTACCTAACTTAAATTTATCTAATTTTCTTGTTCAGCTTTTAAGTTCCCAGTGAGGAACAAGCGTTCCCTAAATAACTTCAGGTGCACAACTTGGAATACTTAACTGGATGATGAGATTATTTATATAGTAGAAAACCTCATAAAACATATAAAGTAAGAAGTCTACACTGCGCCATACATTTGTGTTGAGATCATGGCGAATCTTTAGTAAGATAGAGAGGAAATGAGTTATTGGATCATTGTGTCTTAAATTAGAGCCTATTTTAAGAATCAACAATTTGATCACCAAGTAATCAGTGTGATTGGTTATTTGGATGTCACTTGTCCTTGCTGATTTAGTTGTGGTGCCTTTTGCGACTCCCATGTCTTTTACATTAAGTTGATGGCATTTGTATATTTTGGTAAACATTGTTATGAAGATTTGAGTATCTGAGCTTTCTCCCAGAGACCTGCACTCCATAATTTTATCGACACTTTTGATTTATTCTCCCTGAAGGTGCCTCAAATGGGAGAGTCTGCACATTGACTCCTTACCAATAGATCCCAAACATCTACTAGCAGGCCTCCCCTGCAGCTAAAATCCTAAGAGCATGTTTCAAATACAGATGATTCATGGTCAAATTGAAACGAACAGATCTTTATGCACAACAGACCTATACCAAGTCCATTCACAAAATACTTTCAAGACAATAAAGAAATATACATAAGTTGAAAATTTTTACTGTATCATAATGGCCTACAGAGGAGAGAAGGAATAAAATATTGTAAATGTTAATAATTACGATCCGTAAGAGATTCATCCATAATGTCCTGATTTCTCATACTACCCTAAAGCTTTAGTTTCTTCATTAAATTGGTGTAGTTCTCACTGTATCTTTGGTTTTAATGGAAAAACTACATTAACAGTCAAAAGTAACACCACAATTCTGGAAGCACAAAATATTACAGCAAGGCGCCAGGTCCGAAGAAGATTAGATGCTTCACGTATACAAATCATTTCAGCATGTGCAGTTGCATCTCTTGTTTCTTCCACTCTGTGAATAGTTATTGATTCTACATAAGTATTGATTCTTGTCTTGCGGGACTGAGTAAAAACTAAGATATTATGGGGGAAGTTGCACTTACAGATTGTAGCCACGAGCAATTATCTTTCCATTCTGTACTAATACAGCCCCAACTGGTACCTCCCAGATGTCTGCAGCTTTCTGAGCTTCCACCAGAGCTTCCCTCATAAAAAACTCATCTGTTTTTCTCTGTTCACTTTCAAGCCTATATGCTTCTTCCCACTCTTCAAATGTTTCTCTTAATACTTGTTTATTCCTTTGAAGTTTCCTATTTTTCAATTCCCCATCCATCCCTGCAGTCTTGTCAGCTTCAGTTGGCTCCTTTCTTATGGTATCTTCTTCCAATTTCATGTAGCCAGATACAGGTATTGCAAGATTTCCTGTGTAAGCTATACCTTCATCGATGGTAACTGAAGGTGCAACACCAGTCAGTGATTGGTCAACTGCTATTGCACTAGAAGGTAGACCTTCTGTTCCCTTTTCATTCTCAATCAATGTTACCTCTTCTGGTCTCAAATCAGTGGAAGCACTGGTGGATGTATAATCTCCTTTGATTCCCAACGAGGAAGATGCACTGCTTCCCAACTGCATGGCTATAACATCCAGCGCTTTTAAACTTCCTTGAGAAATACTAGAATGTGTCTCATGGACTTGATCAGTAGGGTCTCCAACTGGCAATAACTGTTTTAAAGCACTGCTTCTTCCATTCACATTGTTCTCATCATCACTGGCATCTTGACCAGAAAACCAAGCCTCACTGCCTTCAGAGGAGCTTCTCTTGCCTGATTTTTGCATTGAAGTATGAGATTCAGCACGATTAGCCCAACCCATTCGTATTATGTCTGCTATGTGAGCCCACAAGGACTTGGAGGATCTTCGAGCAACAGTACTTTCTAGAGTTGGGGCAGTGTTTGTAGAATCTGCAACTCTGGCAGATAAACCATCTACTCCAGGTTCTTCTGTCCTATTATATTCCTGAGAAGTTGGACTTCTAACATTCCACATCTCATCAGATGGCCCTCCTGTTCCATATCTAGATGAAGATCTCCTTGAACCTTCTTGTTTATATTTATCTTCCTCGTCTTTTGTTGTAGCATCAAGCCTACATGACTGAATGGACGTAGTTGCTTGACTGTCTTTACTTCGTGTTCCTTCTGTCTGAGTTCCAGAAGACATCTTATAGCTTGATGTCTCCTGCCTTAGCTTGTCTACAAACTCATCAACAAACACAGCAGAAGAACTCTCTAATCTACCAGCAGAATCCAGTGCATCACTTTTGACTAAATACATCTCATCTTGACTAGTATGGTCATTTGGCTGCTGTATGTGTGTATAGAGAGAGCTGGAACCACTGTCCAGATCTCTAGCGGAAGTGATTTCTTGATTCGTTTGCTGTGAATGTCTCTTCTGCTCATCCTGCACCAACAACAACGAAGAACTCTCAAGTTGGTTTCTTACTCCCATATTAGATGTCTCCTGTGAATCAGAATCCCTTTGGATGTCAGTCGCTGAGTACTCAGATATTCCAAAATCCTGTTTTGACTCTCTTTTTGAACTATATCGACGATCATCAATCTCATTTTGCATGTGTGTTCTGTATATGACTTGGGCAGTGGACATCCTTCCACTATCTTTTTTTGACAACTCGGAAGCATTCGTGTTCTTTCCAGATTCTCTTCTTAGACTGGATTGATGAGTACATTGGTTTTCTGACTGGTTTTGGTGCTTCCCCACTTGATGGACCAAACTCACAGTTGACATAGAACAGTTTTCATCATCCACTCTCGATTGCAGAAGGCCATGAGAGCTGCTGGCATTGTCGGTCCCACATTGTTGAAGTCTAGAAACATCAAGAAAATTTTCAAACTGCTCACCGTGTGTCTTTTTGTCGATAATCTTTTGGTCAACTTGGCCTTTCTTATCTCTCGCCATGTGAACTGAAACTAATTTATCATCTCTGTTTTTCACCAGCACTTCCTCATGTCGCCTTTCTATGTTTGAGCCCAACTGGAAGTTGCTACTATGAAGCTCTTTCATCTGTCTAAGATTTTGTAAATGTTCTCCCGATCCATGGCTTTGAAATGCTAGCTGATCTACTGCAGCATGCTGCTTCAGGGTTGACGTAGAAGAGTGTTCCTTGTCCATCCTCCCAGTGTCATGAACGTTCTCCACACTGGAGATCCTCTCAGCATTGTTCTCATGTACCTCAGATATCCTAACAATTTTTTGGGATCCTTCCCTAGATTCCCTTTGCGTAGCAACCTGATCCTCATTATGAACATATCCGTCACTGCCATCAGTTCTCAATTCAGCTTGTCTAACCACTCTTTTGTCTACTTGGCCCTGCTGCTTCAGTGTAGATGATGAACTTTCCACCATACCAACCTTGCTTTTGTCAACAAAGTTCTTAGATCTGGATGCCATCAGTGTATCATCCCCATGTACATCAGATACTGTAACAAATGTCTGTGATCCTTCCCTGGACTGCAACCCCACAATGTTTTTCCTTTGATGGTAATCTTCACCACTCCTACCGTGAGCTGAAACACTCCATGAAGCACCTCTTTGGATTCTTTTGTTGAGTTCCTGTTTATCTCGCTTAACCACTTGCTGGTCTACTTCACCTTGCTGCTTCACTGATGAAGTGCAACGCTTGTCCATGTCCACCTTTAGATCAGCCATGTTCTTTGAACCGGAAGCCACATCCACATTGTTGTCCATCTCAGAAATTCTTGTAAACTTTTGAGATCCTTCCCACGACAGTCTATTCTTGACCTCGTCTTCATCTTCCAAATGGTGATACTCTTTTTCTCGATGAGATGAAGCAATTAATTTGGTCTCTCTACCCTTGGTTTTCCTACTAGAGACCTTCCCCGAGGTTGAGGCCCTCAAATTATAATCCCTCTCCGTATAATCTGATTCTTCACTTGAATCATAGTCAACATCATCCTCCACGTTCCACACTTCTCGAACCTTTCTCACCCCAGCATTGGCTTTCTTGCCAACATAACCCTTCTTGTCAGTAGAACTCCGTGATGTTTCACGACCAACCTTTCTCCCCCAGCTCGCCCCATTCTCATGCCCACACGAGGGGCAAACTGAGCTCGATCCATCTCTCCTCGCTCTCAACGATCGCACCGTTCCGTCAGCATCCGACCTAATTTCAAACTCCCTCTTCGCATACCTCCTCGGATGGTCAAATTCATCGTGATCCGCGTCATTTTCCCTCATCCTGCTGCCGAAGCTTTCTCTACAGCAGCACTCCACGATCATTTGAAACCTCCGTTGGGAGCTCCGACAGCAACAACAATTCGTGCATCCTCCTCGCTTCGCTGACATCCTGGGAGCGCACGGCTCCTCGTCGCGGAGGCTCACCCGGCAGCAGTGGTTCCCGCCATGGCCGGCAAGGAAGGTTCTCAGAGGCGACCAGTAGATCAAACTGGACTGCCTCAAGTAGTAGCCATAGAGCAGGAACCTAGGGTTTATGGAGAGCCCACGGAGGAAGAGTTCGTCGCCGCCTCCGTCGTCGAGGAGGGAGAGGCGATGGGAGTGGGAAAGGGACGGTTTTGCCCTCAGGGCGAGGGTGGCGCAAGCGTAGCCGCAGTACATGGGGACGGGGGCGGCGGCCCGATGCGGCAGATAGAAGATGGGGCGTACCGTGAGGGAACCCGACGGCTTGGGCGGCGGAGTTAAGGTCACCGTACCCGAAGGGACACGGTCATCTCCAGGGAGCTAAGAAAGAGGTGGAACCGAGGCGAAACGACAGGGAAAGACTACGTTTCTGGTGGTCCGGCGGGACTACGTTAAGGCCAACTCTGTTGGCAAAGCAAGCAAAAGCTATCCCACTCGCCAGTGGGCCCATCGTTGCCTCCAATCACATGGCACGAAAAAGGTGGGGAAGCCCAATTTATTCTAAATTGGGTTAAATCCTAATTATTCTACATATTCAGGAAAAATATTAACAAAGCACAGACGTAATAATATCAATGAATTTTTAATAAAAGTTACAAATATAATAATTTAAAGATAATGGAAAAAAGATATCTGATTGTTTCCTCGCTTCGAAAGCATCTCTCTACCCAACGAGTTTAATGTATCTGCGTGCGTATATACCCCCTCTCTAAAGCACACAATCATATCGATATATCCAGAACCTAAGTTCTTTCCAAAAATGCACTCTTGATTAGGTTAAGGGCTTAATTAATAATATTAAATATGATTTACTGCCTAATCAACATTATTATCATGTCATCCATATGCATTAATGCCGACCTATATATTTGCGTCAAAAGATTGACCTCCTGAAGACATCAATTTTCTCAAGTAAAAAAAACATTATTGTAAAAACTTAAATATCTGTCATTTAAATTTGACTCCTCAATTCTAACCTTCATTACTAAAAGATTGGAAGTATATCAATATCTGCCGTTCCTAATTAAAATTAATCATACATAAATTGTGGTTCGTGTGTCTTCTGCAGAAGTATATATATATATATATATATATATATATATATATATATATATATATATATATATATATATATATATATATATATATATATATATATAATAAAAAAAAAAAAAAAACACAGAGAGA